TAAAACTATTATTTTCGTCACCATCACTCACGAATGAAGATCCTGATTCGCCACACACCTGGTCTCCCCTTTATCAATTCAATTGTTGCAGTGTTTATTTATTTATTTTAAATTCCCATCAGACTTTCAAATAAAATATAGATACATCATTTATTTATTTATTTATATAGATAAGCCTGGTGAAATCAATGTCTTGAATATGAAAAAGGCACTTGAAATATTACTCAAATACAAGCATCCCAACTTGAATTTATAATTGATCATTTGGGTTCTTTTTCTAAGCCGGCAAATTTAACTTCATTTCGAGATTTATATTTCAGGTGCAATGATACTGTTTTCAATTACATGCACCTACTTTCTTATTTTTTCCTTAATTTAAAAGAAATATATATGTTAATAATTTTTTTTATATTAGTTGCACAACGAAAGATAATTTTTTCACGTTCATTATTTCACCTTATTTACATATAATACGATTTAAATTCAAAATTTCTTAATTTCAATGAAAAAAAATTATTACTGAGTTATTTAAGTTGTTAACAAATATATATGTTAATCATAAACAATTCTAATACATCTCTTTCTAGACAGGTTTTTTTGAAAAAAAATTGACTTAAATCTTTTTATTTGATTGATGAAAAAAGTTTTATAAAAAATAATTTTTTTCTCACAATAGATTTGAATTTACAAGAATAGAGGATAGGAGAAAAAATCACTACATTTTATTTTTTAATTTATTTATTTATCTAATTTATGAAAAAATATAAAAATTACAATATTTTTTTATTCCTTTCAAATTAAATATATTATATAATAAAGCGATAAATCTTGATGTTGTTTGGAAGGTCAATGACGTGCACCCCACAAATTCAGTTACACGCGTTGCTAACAAAAGCAATTTCCCCCGCATTGCACTTGCCTCACAACGGCCCTGCACTAGATAAAAACAACATGCAATATAAATGCCGGAGAAGCTCCACGTCTCCGATCAACCTCCTCTTCCTCCTCCGCCTCCCCCCTTTTCTTGGGTTTTGCTTGCATTTCTCCCATGGCGCCGACTTCCGCCCTACTCCCCCACACCCCCTTTACTACACTCCTCGCTTATCCACCAAATTGAATTCGTTCTTGCTTTTAATTAGCAATTCATCTTCTCCACAATCTTTCTTCTGAAATTTTTGTTGATTGGGTTCTGTTTTGTTTAGATGCTACAGATTTTCGGAGACGGATCCAATATAGATGCTCTCAGTATCCGAAGGACTTATATTTTCAAGGAGTATCTAGCGAATCCTACCGGTTCCCCCCAATATGAAACATCCGGTCCGTCCTCTCCTCAGCATTCTCCTGCTAATTGCAGTCACAGCAACCTTCAGCTCCCGGATTACAGTTCGCCGGAGCACAATCTTCAGTCCGAAGCCTCAGCTACGGATCCAGTCACTCCCGCCGCCCGTCTTCAACTCTACCCTGCTCAAATTTGCAGCTATCCAATTGGGGGAAGAGGATTCCAAGCAAGAAATTGAGCAGCTACTGCAAGGAAACTTTTCAACTCAGCTGAAGTACAGGAGTTTCTTTACGTGGTGGAGAAGGTCCAACTCCGATCACCGTGAAAAGGGAGCGAGGACCTCTACAGGATCACCGGAAAATCTCAAGTCCTCAGAGTTTAATCAAGACTGGTTAGATTTTAGGAGGAACTTGCACGATTGGGCGAGAAACAAGATGTTTCAACCGGATGTTATGCTGGATTTGGTTAGATTAGTGAAGCATCGTATTGATGGCCACAATGGTTTGTTTAGTTCTGATAAAAAATACAAGTCTTGTGCGGTTGTGGGAAACAGTGGAATCTTGTTGAATAGCAACTATGGGGAGTTGATTGATAGTCATGAGGTGGTGATCAGATTAAACAATGCTTGGATTCGTTCGTATGAGCACAAAGTGGGATCGAAGATAAGTATTTCGTTTGTTAACAGCAATATATTTCACCTTTGTTCTAGGAGTCGAGAGTGTTTTTGCCATCCTTATGGTGCAGAGGTGCCCATCATCATGTATATTTGTCAGCCTATCCATTTCTTGGATTATACGGTCTGCAATTCGTATTACAAGGCACCTCTGCTGATCACAGATTCACGCTTTGACGTGCTGTGTGCTCAGATTGTGAAGTATTACTCGGCGAAGAGGTTTGTGGAGGAGACAGGGAAGCCATTGGAGGAATGGGACTCTACCCATGAAGGTGTTATGTTTCACTATTCCTCTGGAATGCAGGCTATAATGCTTGCTTTGGGAATATGTGACAGTGTTGGTGTATTTGGCTTTGGGAAATCACCTTCTGCAAGGCACCATTACCATAGTAGCCAGAAGGCTGAGCTTACACTACACGACTATGAGGCAGAGTATGCATTCTATCACGATTTGGTGGAGAATCCTCAGGCAATACCCTTCATCTCAGACAAATTCAGGTTCCCTCCTGTTGTAATTTATCAATAATTTTTGGCTTGCTGGTCAACAAACATTTTTGTTTCTGTTTGTCAAAAGTTTTAACAAGTTAGTATTCATCTTGTATTGGTAGTCTTCCACTACAGAGACAAAAACAAATACGATTACTGAAGATATCTTTTTTCTCTTCTGCCCTGTACCATCAAAGGTAGTTTGGGGTAATAATACAAAATGTAAAGTTGGAAACACACAGTGCCAATTAAAAGTTTGGATTTTCATTTTCAAATCCGCTCATGAGAAAACTCTTGTAGTTCTTTCAGTTAGGAATGCTTATTCAGTCAGAAGTTCTTAGCTGTGTGCTAACTTATACCAGCTTTTGTGTAATATACCAGACAACATAAGATGAAATTCAGGTCTCGAAAGTTGAATATGGGTCAACATTCCATTTATGCTTGTGTTTTAGAATGATTGCTTTTGAATTTAACACCCTTTGTGGTGAAGGGCTAGCCGGTCAGATTGATTGGCATTGAATGCTTTAGATGCCATGCCCCTCGTCTAAGTCTAGGAACTCCTAATGGTAGTTTTTTTTAGCCTGTTAATGAATACAAGTCTTAATTAGTGACTCATGTTCTAACTAATTTAAGGGCATTCATTTTTTTGCTTCATTTCATTTTAAGCAACCATAAATTAGATCTTTGATTTTTCAACAAAATGATACTGATAGTTTGACCCACTTTGAGATGTGGACATCTATCTATTATACCGATAAAGGGAAGGTACGAAAGAGAAGGGCACAGACTCCTGAGGAGGAGGAGCCCATTACAGAGATGTTAGAGATGATTTTGTACAACAAAAGTCCATCGCTATCCCTGTACATATCCTCCTTGCCAAATCACCTCCCTCACCATCCACACTTTAGGTTAGCAAAACAGCAGAGACCACCAATCCAAGAAACCCACCTTGGCTCTCATTTCTTTCTTCATTCTGCAGTGTCCATCACCGCACTCTTCTCCTCAAATTTCACTGCCACCAAGAACCTTATACTCACCTGTGAAAAAGCAGATATACCTGAGTAAATCCTAGGAAAGTTTTTGTCAAAATTCAGAGAAGAGGCTAATGCTTACATGTTTTGGATCATAAACAGCATATTCATTGTATTCGAGCGGACTATCCTTGTGCTCTGAGGCGATCAAACGACCACAAGGAACTTTGATATCATCTTTCCAAACCACGTGTTCTGATTCATCTGTTTTCTTCCTCCCCAATCCCTTAACAGGTTGTTTCTTCTCTTCCAGTGACTTTGTATCCTGTTTCATTATTTTGTGACAATTTAGAGTTTAATGAAGGATTGATCTAAATATTCTTTTGCCAAAATAGGATCACAAACCAGATTAGAATTCACCTCAGGTGGGTTCTTGAGCTCAGTGACCTGATCCCCATGAGCTTGCACAGCCAGGACCAAGAATCCTTCTGGCCTATCTACGGCAGTGAAGCTATACCTAGCAGCTTCTGCTGCAGCATCAGAACAAATAATTGCCTTCCCAAACTGCCATGGGAAAATAGATCAACTTAAGCAAGAAAGATTTGAAAGTGAAATATAGTAAAAACCACAGCAAGGGAACATTATATGTATACCATGTAACCAGGAACCGGTAAGGAACACACTGCTGGCAAGAATCCTTTATGGACAAGCCTTACGAGGTTTGAGCTTTGAGTACCTGAAACGAAAACATTAAACAGAGAGTAAGGATTAAATAAATCATTCAAAAATATAGATAACTCAGAAAAAAAAAAGATGAAAAAGAATGAGAATCTTACCACACCAAACGAGCACTTTGTTTGGAATTTCCTTTAGGTCATCCAAGGAAGGGCCGGCATTTACTTCAACAGCAAAGATGTTATCAACTGATATTCCATATTCCTGAAACACCAGAATACAACAGAATTTAAAGATGAACTGATTACATGAGAAATCAGTAGAATAATATCAAATTAGGAGAGAATGAAAATAGAGGCCATGAGCCTTACAATATCTGCAAATTTAACAGGTTCATAAGTTTTCTCAAGGTAGTTGAGAATCATCTTGTAGTCATCCGAACCCTTGTCTAAAGGAGAAATTGAACATCCCAATTTCTGGTATCTATCAGACAGTGGATCATCAAGGGTATCACCAGTCATGTCTCCTATAATATGTGAGGCATGGACAATATCTCGAACAGTTTCATATGCAGCAGCACCCTGCAAGAATAGCTGAAATTTTTACAACTGACCAAGAAAATCAGGAACTCCAGTGGACAAAATATTGGATGTGCAAGCATACATGATCAGCAAGTTCGCAGAGATCCCTGAAGATGAAAGGTCTAGTAGAGTGCATCAGAGTAAACCATCTATTGCTAAAGTCTGTCCAAATAGTCTCAGCCTTTTGATCTGTGTCCTTCATAGATTTTACCTTCTCAACAAACTCCAACAGAACCTCCTCACCTGAATGATGCATCAGGTTATTCATTTGAGGATACGAAGATAAAGGAAGAGAAATCTGGGCACAAAAAAGATCTTACATCTTTTTAAATGGACACTAGAAAGCATCCCCATTGGCAGATCAGGGGCGTCAAGTCCCATCTCCATTAGAGCATACCTGTGCCAACAAGCACACACGCAAAAGTAGGTCTCAAGATTAGTAATGCAAAAGAGATGCCAAAAAAACGAAAACAAATAATTATGTGAATCAATAAAAAAACGTACTTGTAGATCTCTTGACTGCACAAAACCTTCATAAAATTTGCAACTAATGGTTCAAGTTTGCAATGTGTAACTGCAACTCCGAGCTGCCTCAAACCAAGCCCTCCATATCTTACATCAACTCCCTTATCCTATTTTAGTATAACAAACACCAAGTGAAGTATTAAAGACAGCAAATTTTACATATATGCTGCTTGACTTTCATAATTGAAGAAGATGAGGTTTTACCATATCTATTGGATAGAATTTCATTAGTTTCTTTTCGAACTTCTTCTCCCTTTCCCATGGCTCAAACTCATTACCAGTCATTTCCTCAAAGAGCCTAACAAACTCCTTCACAGCATTGTCCTCATTTGGCCATTCCTCCACTCTCTCTTCTGCATTAGGGTCATCACCTACTTTCCCTTTCTTGACATAGAGATTCAAGTTGCTCTCTGGTACTGTGATTAGTTGCATGATACAGTACCTGGACCAATTAAGCTTCAAAACTTGGTACAATTAATGTAAAGCATCAAAGTTTATACACGAAAATGGAGTTCACTTATTACTCATTCAATCCTCGCCCTTGGTCACAAAGGGAAAATGCACAGTTGTAGAGTATCCCATCTTTCTCAAAAATCTTCCCACCTCGCTCTGGCAGTTTGGAATCCTTGTGTACTGCCCTCTTCCCATATAGCTTGATCTGCAAGCAAAATGGAAGTAGGTGGATGAGACAATCATAGCATTGCATGAGTTCACCTATCCTCAAAGTCCAAAGGCAGTCATGGTAGTCTGTACTTCTGCTGACAAGGATTCAAGTGCCTCTTCACTAGGATCTTGTTTATCCCACGGAATTCCTTTGCCATCAACCGCAAGATCTGAAACCACATCATAAGCTGCTAGAGGCTGGGCTTCTTGTTTCTCTATACTATCAATCAACCAAGCTTCACTGACCACTGGTATGCCCCTTTCCCTGAAAGTTCAATAGTTTTCTCAAGTGAACATGAATTGCAATTAACCTATAGAGGCATGCTTTAGTCTAATGTCAGTAAAACTATTCTTATGATTTCCGAAGAAAATTCCTCCTGAAAAATCAAACTTCTAAAATGTTGTTTCATTCAGTGTTAATGTGTAGGTGAAAAAGGTAAGTTGATTCTCCACGCCAAAAACAAACATTTTTACCAAAAAATCCTAGATAAATCTTGTTTCTGCATAAAAATGTGATTTATATTCACATCATACAGGGTTTAACATCTAAATACTCACATTGCTTCCACCAGTTTGGATGAGCCACCACGATCTCTCTCCGCAGGTGAAACAACCAAGCAAGTTGCACCTGTGATAATCACTGTAAGAATTACAGCCAAAGACAAAGCAACTCAAGACTTGTAGAAGCACAGCAGAATTACCAAGGATGGAGTTAGCAACCTTCCCGCCATGTTTTTCTATCTTTGATTTCCAATATTGCTGCATTTGTCAATCATAGTCTTATAATGCATTTTCATCCAAAAAAACACAAATATTTAACAAAGACTGCATCAAAATTATGAAATAGAGCAGTTTCACTGACATGTTTGTGAGTAAGACGGCCCATGAGGGAAATCATCATTCCCAATAATGGTTTGTCTGAGGTGCGTGAACTCTTGTCAGGTCTGCCACTAGGATCCTGATATTTCTTTACCAACTACACCAAGGAAGAGAGTGCTTAGTAAAACTACTAAATCTGCTAGGGTACATAAGATGAGTAAAAATCCATGGAATTTACATCAGACACAGGAGAGTTTAAAACAGAATCTAGCAATTTGGTTGGTTCCTTTCTCCTGGGTGGGCTTCTTGTCCTAAAGATGCAGGAAGACCACTCACTATAGGACCCTTTGCAAAAGTAGCTTTCACCATCAAAATCCAAATTGCAGCTGCAAATTGGGCACGTCCCCAATGGCCCAAAAAACATCATATCTTGGCTGCATATGTGAAAGATTTTGAAAGCATCAGCTATTATCTCTCATGTCTCATGAAATCAAAATCTCACCAAAAAAAAAAAGTTATCATTTGTAATCTTTTAATTTTAATGTACTCATGGATAGGCAGATACACATGTGCCTTACAATCATCCTAATTTGTTATCGTAACTAAGTGGTGGTTAACTGTGAGACACATCATTCAATTGCTCAAAGTGCATCAATTTTTCTTGAAAAGAACTATTATGCTAAATCTACTGACCATCTAGAGGCAACTTGAACGTCAGAACCAGAAGAATCTTGGTCATTAGCTTCAAGTGTCTCTCTCATTTGTTCAACTGATAAGTGCTCAGATGTGGCTTTACAGAATTCAGCAAACTCTACATCTACATCATCTGAAGACTTCCCATTATGGTGGCCATTCTCATTCTCCTGCTTAGCCTTCTTTGGAGCTTGCTCTCCTTCATTGCTCTTCTGCTCTGCCTTCTGCTTTCTTGTCATCACTTTGGCTTCATCAGCGGATGCATGACCATGACCATGAGTTTGAGACCTTGTTTCAACCTTCACATTTGCAAACAAGGCATATAATTAAGCTATTATCCCACCAAAGGGGCACCTTTAAATTGGTTGAATTAAATGGGAAAAAAGATAAAACAAATCAAAACCCATCTTCTGGCTATGCACCCATCAAAACACTGAATTGAAACAAATGCCATTCGACACAAACTGGAGGAACATGATGGATACAAACCTTCATCTTGCTCCTAATTAAGCACTCTTCACGGAAAAAACCAGAGAATAAAATCCACAGCAACTTCTCAGAGACAATTTCTCAAACAGATAAGAGAACAGAAAGAAGAATTTCCAAGACAAGCAAAGTAATGCCTTTTACATAACCAATCTTGTGCAATGGGCAGCATAATATAGTGAGAAGGGCAAGCAAGGAGCTTTTCCTTCTGTCATGTCCAAAACAAAACAAGTGTTCTCATGCATAGACACTGCAAGCCACGTGTCCAAACAGGTATTTCTTACATCCTAAACTGTTGACAGGTGGTCCTCTAACGGTGGACTCCCATCTTTCCTACATTCTAGTCTCTGCAAGCATCAATCCAACCCTCTTCAACTTGCCAGATTCTTACCACCAAAAACCAACACCTGGAATTGGAGAGGTGGGGGACTCATTTGCTACATCATATGAGCTAACCTAGTTATCTTCAGTCAAATGGGATCTATAAGATAATTGATGATCAGTCATTGTTTTCCAGGCTCTAGGGCTGAAGCTATTGCCTATGACAATTTTGCAACTGACTTTATTTGTAATTTCATTAATTTACAGTTTTTTTTAATTATTAATTTTAATCTGTTAAGTATTCTTTTTATTTAAATTTAATTATTTTATTTTTTAAATAAGTATAATTAGATTTAATTGTTTCATTTTTTAAATAAGTATAATTTCAATTGAATGTTGGAGAAAATTAAAATAAATTTTTATTTTCTATCATAATTATTAAGAAAAA